GAAGGATGGATAAAAAAAATGTAGTATATTTACACAATGAAGTATTACTTAGCAGGAAAAAAAAATGACCTCATGAAATTTGCAAATGGATGGAACGAGAAAAAAATCATTCTGAGTGAGGTAGCCCAGGCCCAGAAAGACAAACATGGTATGTACTCACTCATAAGTGGATATTAGCTATAAAGTAAAGGATAATCAGACTACAATCCACAACCCCAGAGAATCTAGGTAACAAGAAGGGCCCAAAGAGAGATGCATAGATTTCCCTGGGAAGGGTAAATAGAAGAGATCTCCTGGGAAACCATGACATTTTCCTAATTACTTTTCTTCCCAGCTAATAAACAAGGTAGAGAGGCCACATCAGCTGTCTCTGGTGACTTCATAATTGGGAAGACACACCAAAGCTGCGGGAGAGAAGCGGTGTCATTAACACCTGGGAGCAAAGGGTGATTTCCATAGGAAATACATACAATCAAGAGGAAGTGAAGATGGCACTTTACCAAAAGGAAAACAATGAATCATAAGTGGAAAGATATCACTGATCTGGATGGAGAGATAATCCTTAAAGTCAAATTATATTTGTTTATATTTATGTATTTGTTTGTTTATTTATTGTGTGTGTGCATGTATGTGGAGGTCAGAGGACAACTTGCAGAACTCAGTCTCTCCTTCTACCAGAGACAGAACCAGACTTGGTGGCAGGCCCCTTCACCCACTGAGGCGTTGCCCTGGCCCTATTCTGAGTCTCGTTGGGCCTGAGGAACTGAGGTTTGTGGCCTTGAGACTCCTCACTTCAGGGCGGTTGCATATGGAGTAGAATTCCTGCCACCACCTGCTGGAACCGCCCTGGCTGCCAGTGTCTGTTCTCTGCCTCTGTCTCTGCTGCAGGACTGCAGGGGTGGGGGGTGAGGGGGCGGGGTGTCCCTGGGTTAAACACTCAAATCCACTGTCCAATTCTTTAGCCATCTTTACTTCTCATCTCCCACTCTCATGTTATATTTTATCTACTTGTTCTTGGAACTAAAATAATGCCACCGTGATACCACACAGATTTCACATTACTATAATTCCTCACAGAGGCAGACATGAACACCCACCCCCATCTGATGAGCACGGACTCATTGTCCCCAAGGAAAGACTGGATCACTCCCTGCTGGAGTTTTCATACTTTCCTGCCCAAAGAAGTAAAGTTCCTATCTCAGGCCAACTACAGAAACTTCCAGTTGGACCCAGATTAAGCACAAACCCTGACTCTGCCTCTTATGGTCTGGGCTCTAGAATCTTTCTTTGGGTTTTGATGAAACTGAAAAGGGTCACTAGCCTCAAAGTACACAATAGTTCCAAGCAAATCTGACTGAATTTCTATTCTGATTCCTTGCCTACTTATGAGAATTCTGTAACGTTGCCGGCAGCTGAGCAATGCTGGACCCACCAGGAGCCCCCAGCCCTGCACCTGACGCTGTGTCAGAGCTGAGAGAGAGAAGAGCCCTTGGCTGCAGGTGAGGAGTCCACAGAAAAGGGAAGTCGGCCGAGGGTGTAGGTGGTGGGTTCCTGTGAGCCACATCACTGGAGGAATCACCTGGATGCTTTGACATGTGTGGTGCCCATGAGAGGAAGTGCAGCATAAATTCCCCCAGGACCACGGTGCATCACTGAGAACTTAGGTTACCTGGGTAAAATGGAAAAGGGAAGAACAGAAAGGTTCCACCTCACAGGACACATAAAGGTATTAATAGAGTAGAAAGAGAAGAGGGTCGTCATCATCGTCATCATAGTAATTATTATTAATTATTGCATCATTTTCCACTGTGGTCCTTGTGGCTGGCAGGTCACCTTCCAGTGTCTTTGTTTTCTCACTGTCTTGGCAGAGGAGAACCTGCTGTCTCTGGGAAGAGAGTCTCAGGGACCAGGAGCCAAGTAAAACTGGAATTCTCTGTACTGAGTAGGAATGGAGGGCTGACCATTTGTGCTTTGTTTGGTTCTGGGTGGCCATGGTCACTTTCAGAATGAGCTCCTGGACACGTCCGGTTCATGCCCCCATCTCCACCATTAACATAGCCCAGACTTTCTGGTTGACTTAACCTGTGAGGGTCTGACTCAGACCAATGCAGTTGATTTGTGGGCTTATTGGTAGTTTTAAATCATTTGTTTGTTTTACATATATGGGTGTTTTGCCTGTGTATTTAACTGTACCATATGTGTGCAATACCTAAGGATGCCAGAAGAGGGCATCAAATCTCCTGGAACTGGAGTTACAGGTGGCTGTGAGCTGCCAAGTGGGTGCTGGGACTGAACCAGGGTCCTCTGCAAGAGTAGCCAGTGCTCTTAACCGTGGTGCCATCTCTCCAGCCCCTCATTGGCAGTTCAGTAAGCAGAGCAGAGCTAACCTGGGGGGCCTGGAACTCACTGGGACTGAATGGACATAGAAGTGAAGTGCCCCCTGCATTCCCATGGTGGAAGAGAGGTCACCTTAAGTTGTTCTTGTTCACAAACACCGGTTCACTTCAGATCTGTGGGTGTGTGCCAACCAGGTTCCAAACCTTGACTGTGACCCACAGCTCAAAGGAAGCACCTGTGCCCACCCTCCTGCTGACCCCCACCTCATGAAGAACCTTGTCCCAGACAAAGCCCTCAGAAGGAGGCACCCATGACTGAGTCCCATCCATGTCTCCCTGGCTAACCCCCAAAGTCAGCCCCCCGCTCCTGTCTAGCCAGGCTTCCATTACAAGCAAGCTGTGCAGCAACTGGGTCCAAACAACGCTAAAATCAGACACTATGAGGAACTATAGAAAGAAGATCTAGTTATTGTGGGGGAAATTATCATTAAACACATAAAAAGGAATCTGAATTCATGTGTTTAGTAAGGAATATAATGGATTATTAAAATATTAAAATTTTTGAGACTGAAAACTTCTATGTTCTTAAAAATAAATATAATGGATACATTTAAAGTAGTTTCATCAACATCTACATAAATTTTTATAAAGTTGAGGCTGTTTTTCTAGGAATCAATATGAAGAGGGAGTACACACACATTCACACACACACGCACACATGCAAATCTAAGACTAGAGTGATTTTGTAAAATAATTAGCCTTTCCTACTACCATGTTGCTTAATTTTTCAGGGTTCTGTTTATTTTTCTTTTTTCTTATATGGAGACAATTTTTTCATTTATTTTATATTATCTATAACAGTGATATTAATTATAGTTCTGTAATAAAGAGTTAATTTTAAAGATAGATTCAGGACAATAGAGTGGCTTTGCAGTGTAGCTGGGCCCTCTGCTCTCTACCCACTCCCTCACTCCCCAACCAGTGCATCATCCCCACGAAGGAAGCAGAAGCTAACCAGGATTCACTGCCAGGAGCCTCAGCCTGAGTAATGCTGAAGTGAAACCCTCTGGCATTGGACACGTTCTCTTCAGCCAATGAGGAGCAGGCGTGGACCGTGTCACTTGTCTCCAGAAGAACAAGCTGTTGGAACTTGCAGGAACAGGGGCCACTGTACAGACAAAGGCAGCATGTCACAAAGCCAGCAAAAGCTGTGTATAGGAAACGTGAAACAAAACTTTTAAACCTATTTACATAATTATAGTAAAATCAATATTTAAAATAGAGGTTTTTTTTTTTTTTTTGCTTCACGAACTTCACCCAGAGTTCTCTGTGGACTTAGCACATCTGACCCCTATCCCAATTTTACATTGTAGAATAAGCATGTCTACGCTAAGATTTCTAATAAAGGGAACCATATAACATATATTCTCTTCAAAAGATTTATTGTTTTTATTTATGTATATGTGTGTGCCTGCATGAATTTATGTGCAACCACACACATAAAGATGCCAAGGGTGGCCAGATGATGGCCTGGAACTGCAGTTTCAGGCAGTTGTGGCCCCCCGTGTGGGTGCTGGGAAGGGCCCATGTCCTCTGCAGCAGTAGTCAGTGCTCTTAACTCCTGAGCCATCTCTCTGGCCTCATGGCATGTCTTCCTGTGCCTGGCTTCTTTTCTTTTGTTTGTGTTCATCTTTGCTTTTATTTTTATTTATTTTTACATTTATTTATTTGTATGTGTGGGGCAGCTGTTCTACATGAGCACATGTGTGTGTTGTGCCCTCAGAGGGCAGAAGAGGGCGTCAGATCCCCTGCAGCTGGAGTCACAGGTGGTGGTGAGCTGACACGTGGGTGCTGGGATCTGAATTTCCGTCCTCAGCAAGACCAGCCAGGGCTCTTCTTCATGGCTGAGCTGTCCCTCCACTCCTCATCCCTGCTTTGGATGTTGTCTGTAGTTTCTCCTGTCTATTGCCTAGTGGAGCTCCTCAGTAAGAACTTAACCACACTTTGATCTTCCCTCCTTTCTCCACAGGGCACTTTCTATGGAGCTAGCTGCAAGCTGTTCAGGGGACTTCACGGATGCAGCTTTCATGAGTCATTGCTCCTGCTGGAATGGGCTTTGCATGGTAACACCAGGGTTTCTGTGCCAGAGCAAAGAGCCTCCCGACCAGGGTTTACACAGTAGAAAGATCAAAGACATTGACTGGATCCGACTGTGGGGACCCTTGGGGAGTTGTCAACTCACAAACTCGAGTGTTCTGTACCCCCTATGAAAATAAATAAAGACAAGAAAAAAAAGCTAACTCATGTATGTGAGCCTGAGAAAGTGGCTGGGTGTTGGGGTTGAGGAAGCCCCAGGAAAGGAATAAATTCAGGGGAGACTTCCTGGACAATACAGCCCAGAAAACTCTGAAGAACATCATTATTATAGAAGAGTTCACCTGTCCATGAGACTTTTCAAAAATTCCCTCCTCTCTTGCCAGCCGCACACACATGCACAGGAGAAAGAGTCTGGCCTGGAACCCAGGGCGTTCCCTCGGGTCCTCTCTGAGCAGAGGCTGCAGCAGGTCAGGGAGTTCCCCTGCCTCTTCCAGGCCTCTCAGTACAAACTCTGCACCCGGCAACTGTGACGTCATCACGAGGGAATTTTCTGATTGGGTCTGGCGGGTTTGGGTTGGTGTCAGACCTCCTTGGCTGGGTCCTCACAATCTCTTGAGGACTCAGAAGAGCAGCTGCTGAGACCACCCAGGGAAGAGGATGACGGCCAGCAGAGCTCTGGTTCTGGGGATCCTCGCCCTGATCACCGTGCTCAGCCCCTGTGGAGGTGAAGACGACATTAAGGGTGAGTTGTACTGCTGAGGGACGCCTGGAGCCGGGAAATGGGGAAATGGAGAGAAGAGGGAGACACAAATCGGCTGAGATACGAATTTTCAGTATTGGGCAGTCTAAGAACTATGTGACCCCGTCTTCAGGAGGCTCTGGTTGGTGAGCTGTGCTCACAATACCGTGATTCTAATAGTGGGTCCAGGGAGGGAAGTGTGGAAGGATCTGTGATAGGCGGGGGGTGGGGGTGGGGGGGGGTGGGGGGGTGTCTCAAGACTCGCAGGTGTTTCCACGAATGGATGATTTTTCATTACTAAAAATCCACGAACTATTACTCTCAAAATTTTCTCAGAGTTTCTGAAGGCCTTTATACCCATCTCCTGCAGTATATCCTATGGAAAACAGTTCCGTGAATCATGTATACAAATACACGGAAAACGCTTCCCGTGTGTGGGGTTTATACTCTTCACACTAGGAGCTAGCCCTGGTGGGAAGTGAGAGAAGGGCCACCATTTTACAGGACAGTCCTCCTGAATCTTGGTTTCCTCATGTGTCGCCTCACGAGTGACCAAGTATGTACATGTACTTTAAAAATAGTGAAAACCAGGCTGGGCCTGGCAGTGCATGCTGGGAATTCCAGCACTTAGGTGCTGAAGCAGGAGGATCGTGAGTTCAAGGACAGCCTGGGCTACATAGTGAGACCTTGTCTCAGAAAGATGTTAATTCATTAGTAAATATCTTTAAATGTCAAATTTTCTTCCTTGTTCCTATTCCAGATGTAGTTTCATATATTTGAAACAAAGTAAAGAATATAGGCTGCCTGTCCTACACCCCATCTAATGAAGTCTATAAAAACAACACAGACAAGCACAAGATACAGGAGCCTCTGGCCCCTCAGCCTGTGCTGCCCCCTCTCTCCACACTCCCTGTGAACATTCCTTGCCCTCTCTCAGGATCCCTCCTTAACTCTGAGCTGTTTCACAGATGTTAATAGTAGCTTTGTGAAATGTCAGTTGAAAAGTCAAATGTTTGAAACAGGAAGTGAAGGGATGGAGTGACCTGTGACCCATGGCTGATCTCACTCCAGTTCCGTGGGGAGGTGGATGTCTCACCTGCTTCTCCAGGGAGCTTGGTTCCTTTGTCCCCAGTCTCTTTCTTCAGTGTCACACGAGAGTGCCCCAACCAGGTGTGAGCAGACACAGTGGGCACCGTTCCAAGGAACCACAGAACTGTGGGGCTGTGTGAAATATTCCCATTTCCTTTGAATTTAGAAGAAAAAAAGTGAAGTTTCAAGGTCTAAAAAAAAATTGCTTTGATTTTTAATTCAGCCTATATTACATTTGTCTTATATATTAAAAATGACTTTCAATATTTTTATCAAGGAAGGGCCCCAAAGCTAAATGCATAGGGTGTTCAGGTCTTAATATAGCCTTAGTCATTGCTGACCCTGACTTTCACGTGGTTCTGCCACCTGCCTGTCATTCTCAGAGTCTCCATGGGCCTCAAAACTAGCAATAATCATTCAACACTCCTCTTCGTAAAGCACTTGCTCAGCTAAGACGTGTGTGCCGAAATATATAAAAACTGTTGCCTGTGCCTAGGAAGTGTTCTGCCCCTGGGAAGTGTGTAGACTAGTGATAGACTCGGACCTAGGTCAGGAAGCAAAAAGGCTATTACCAAGGGGAGTAGACCCATTTGAGGTCAAAACTGTAGTGGCAGGAGGCAGTGTGGTGTTCTCAGCACCACGTGTGGCCCAAGAAAAGCGCCTGCTGAAGTGAAGGCTGTGTACATCCATATTTAGAAGAGAAATCAGGAAGATTTATTTTTAATGGATAAGGAAGCTTTGAGGGGGAGGGGAGGTATGGTGTGTGTGTGTGTGTGTGTGTGTGTGTGTGTGTGTGTGTGTGTGTGTATGTGTGTGGTGGGGTGGGGGAGGAGGGTGCTGATGAGACAACCAAGGTGGTCACACTGGGAAAGGAAGAGCCAGAGAAGCAGTGGAACATGGTTTGGATTGGGGGTTATAGTGTATTGTGGTTGGAAGCCTATTAATCAAAACTGAGCAGAAACCTTCAGAAGGTTTCAGTAAATTGAAAAACAACAACCACCTCGATTTCAATGAGAAAAAGAGACCTCTGAAGACAGCAGGACTATGAGAGGATGAGGTCCCTGCAGACAGCAGGACCATGAGAAGATGGCATAGTTAGTTTTGATTGACAGTTGCTTGTGTAGAATGCCAGAATGTAACTTGTCCACAGCACTCACAGCACATTACATGTACTCTGTCTTCCAACCTAACTCTCCTAGTATTCACCAAATGTGGTGACTGCAGAGACCAGGCCTGGCTGGCCAGTTACTTCTTACACAGCACCATGTCTGACATTTTCTGAAACTAAATAAATGGAGAAGAAACAAAAGATAAAAAACTTAATACTAAAATCTATGCCTTGACAATGTCTATTTGACATCCTTTGGGTGGAACTGCCTGCTTGGCCATGGCATCTCACACATGCTTACCATAGGAGGAAAAGCTTAAATCACCATGAATCTGCAAGTTAATGTCAGTATTGATTTGAAAAAAATTAAGAGGTAGGGATTGACAGAAGCATACAATCCAATTAAGTATTTTTTTTTATTCTAGAGGAAGTCAGAAAACTGTCCTGTGGATCCCCGTGGTTAACAATGCAGGAACTTTAGACATAGCAATTTCTACATATTTTGTAATGATGTCATTGTTCTCTTTCTATAGAATTCCATATGCTTTTCCTTTTGTTAAAAAAAAATAAAAAGGAATCCCTGTGTGGAAAAAAAATTTAAGAAGGGAAATGAAATGAAGTGTAGTAGATAATTAACTAATGAAATCAATGAGACACAAAACCTAAGAAGCAAAGCAAACAGACTGGCTGACTCTTTGGAAAGAATGCATTCCTCTTCCATTCATTTGTGAGCTACTTGGCATTGACCATCATGTACCAGACACTGATGGAGTCAGGACAGCAGAAATTCGGCTGTCATGTAGCACGTGTCATAGAGGGAAAGACTGGACTGTAACCAATACTGAGAGTGGTGGGGGAAGAGGGTGATGGAAATGTGCCAAAAAGATGAAGTTCATATATTTTCTCACTTTTTAAAATAACATCCTTTTTTTTCTTCCTGTTTTCCATTTTCCTACTATTCATCTTAATTCACCAGCTGACCATGTTGGCACCTATGGTTCAGTTGTCTATCAGTCTTACGGACCCAATGGCCAGTACACATTTGAATTTGATGGTGATGAGAAGTTCTATGTGGACTTGGATAAGAAGGAGACAATCTGGAGGATTCCTGAGTTTGCCCAACTGATGAGCTTTGACCCACAAGGGGGACTGCAAGATATAGCTACAGTAAAACACAACTTGGACATCCTGACTAAGAGGTCCAATTCTACCCCAGCTACCAATGGTACGTCTCAGCGCCCTGCTCCTCCCTCCCTTCCCTGGTAAGGAACATGATCCACTACTCTGTAAAACTCTCTCCTTTCCAAGGAGTCCCCAGATCTCATCCCCGAACCCTCATCCTCTCTCTTCTTACAAATCACATATTCCATGTAATATAAAGCTCTTTGCTCCCACAGTGCACTCCTGGAATCTTTCATAGAGGCCCTGACACACATCCTAACAACCTAGAAAGGACATGGGGATAAAGTGGGTGTAGTACACATTAGTTCCAAGAAGAAGGGAAGGCCAGGTTCTTGGACCATCCTGTGTGAGAGTCTTGGCAAGAGGGCTCCCTCATCAGACAGTGCAGAACATCAGGAAGAGAGACTCCCATCAACCACTCACATCCAGGCTGTTTCCTTTCCAGAGGTTCCTGAGGTAACCGTGTTCCCCAAGTCCCCTGTGCTGCTGGGTCAGCCCAATACCCTCATCTGCTTCGTGGACAACATCTTTCCTCCCGTGGTCAGCATTACATGGTTGAGAAACAGCAAGTCAGTCACAGACAGTGTCTATGAGACCAGCTTCCTCTCCAAGAGTGACCATTCTTTCCACAAGATGTCTTACCTCACCTTCATCCCTTCTGACGATGACGTTTATGACTGCAAGGTGGAACACTGGGGCCTGGAGGAGCCGGTGCTGAAACACTGGGGTGTGTGTGAGCTCTACCCACCTCTGCCCTTTCTTGTCCTTTGTCAACTCTAGAACAGCCTGTCTTCTGGCTCTGGTGACCAAACTCATGTCCACTCTTATAGAGTTTCTAATGATAGACGTCATGTTCTCCCACATATGCCCCGCCCCAAAGTCTGTGTGGATTGACTTCCATCCTCACATAGGCCCTCTTACATACATCATGAACATACTTCCTCCTGACTCCAGAAACTTCACTTTCCCAGAACCTGAGGTTCCAGCCCCCATGTCAGAGCTGACGGAGACTGTGGTCTGTGCCCTGGGGTTGTCCGTGGGCATCGTGGGCATCGTGGTGGGCACCATCTTCATCATTCAAGGCCTGCGATCAGGTGGCACCTCCAGACACCCAGGGCCCTTATGAGCCACACCTTGGAAAGGAAGGTAAGGGTTTGTGTTTGTGGGAGCCAAAGCCACCACACAGGGGAAGCAAGGGGAGGGGAGGCTGATGAAAACGTGGTTGGCGCATTGTTGGGGGATTGTGCACTGGTGTGATCACACTCGGGAGCCTCTGGAACACACCCCTCTCCTGTCTGTTTTGTTGCAGGTGTGTGGCCCTCTCCAGGGCAGAAGTGGTGTGCCGGATGGCCTTGCACAGTGTGTTTTCTGGCCCAGTTCATCATGTTGTCTTCCCCAATTGTCCTCCATCTTACTTTTCTCTTGGACTTGAGGCTGTTCCCCCCTCACAGTTCACATACCCTTGGAATTCTCCCCTGCTCTGAGTTTTGTTTTTTGGCATCTTTCAAATGGTATCTACTATAGAATCTCTCAGTAACCCTGATTCAGCAGCTGCATGAAGCCAATAAGTTACCTTTTATGAGTCAATTACTGGATTTTGTTTTGTTTTTCTGTCTATCATATTGGAGTTTATTGGAACCAGGGCCATATAATCCCATGCTCAGTGACACAGGAACAACCAAATATAGCCTTAGAATGTTTGAGTATCTTAGTCAAGGTTGAACTCTCTTCTTTTTGTTCCCAGCCTTGACCACTGTCATCTGTCCCTAGTCAGGCACCAGGAGGGTAGAGTGTGAAATCTGCCTTGGTGTTCAATTGCTGTAAGGAAATACCAAGGCATGGGGCACACACCAGTAATCCCAGCGGAGTAGGAGAGCCCTCACAAGTTTAAGGCCAAGCTAGTCTACACAGGCAAGCTGGAGCTATGTAGAAAGGCCTCGTCTAAAATGGAGATAGAGATAGAGATAAAAGAAAGAACCACATTCATTTTAACTTAACCTTATAATGAAAAGAAATTTGAATCTCAAGTGATAAAAGTTTTAAATAATGTTATCAAAAGTTGTCTTAGGGTTTCTATCACTGCCATGAAACACCATGACCATAAAGCAAGTTGGGGAGGAAAGGATTTATTTGACTTACACTTCCACATCACTGTTCATCACCAGAGGAAGTCAGGAACAAGGCAGGAACCTGGAGGCAGGAGCTGATGCAGAGGCCACAGAGGGGAGTTGCTTTAATGGCTTGCTTCTCCTAGTTTGCTCAGCCTGCTTCCTTATAGAACCCAGGATTGAAAACCCAGGGATGGCTCCACCCACAATGGGCTTGGCCCTTCTGCATTGGTCACTAATTGAAAAAATGACTTACAGCTGGATTTCATGGAAACATTTCCTCAACTGAGTCTACTTCCTCTCTGATGACTCTAGCTTGTGTCAAGTTGACACACAAAACCAGCCAGTACAGCTGACCCCTTGTCAGCTTGACACACAAATACATCACTATTAAGCCATAACCCTTTCTTATTCATTCTCAAGATTTCACATTAAAATCATATAAAAATTTAAAAGTCTCACAGTTTTACAAGTTCAAGCACATTAAAATTTCAGTCCCTTTAAAATAGCCAATCTCGCCGGGCGGTGGTGGCGCACGCCTTTAATCCCAGCACTCGGGAGGCAGAGCCAGGCGGATCTCTGTGAGTTCAAGGCCAGCCTGGACTACCAAGTGAGTTCCAGGAAAGGCGCAAAGCTACACAGAGAAACCCTGTCTCAAAAACCCGGAAAAAAAATAAAAATAAAAATAAAAATAAAATAGCCAATCTCTCTTAAAATCTAAAGTCTTTTAAAATTCAAAGTCTCTCAACTGTGGGCTCCAGTAAAATACTTTCTTACTCCAAGAGGAAAAATCAGGGCACAGTCACAAATCAAAGCAAAACAAAATTCCAACCATACAATGCCTGGAATCCACTCGACATCTTCTGGACTCCTCCAAAGGATCACTTCTCCAGCTCTGCCCTCTGAAGCACACACAGCTTATCTTCTAGGCTCTGGCTGGCTCCACTCCCCTGCTACTGCTGTTCTTGATGGTCTTTCCATGGAACTGGCGTCTCCAATATGCTGGGGTCTTTTGCTGCAACTGGGCTGCACTTTCACCAATAGCCTCTCATAGGCTCTCTTCATGGTGCCAAGCCTCAACTTCTTTGCATGACCCCTTCAGTCCTGGGCCTTCAACTGCCATTGAGGCTGCACCTTCACCAATGGCCTCTCCTGGACTCTCATAGTACCGAGCCTTAGCTGCTCTCCATGACCCCTTTGTCTTAGTTAGGGTTTCTATTTCTGTGAAGAGACACCATGACCACAGCAACTCTTATAAAGAAAAAACATTAATTGATGTAACTTACATTTTCAGAGGATTAGTCCATTATCATCATGGTGGGACATGGGGGCATGCAGGCAGACATAGTGCAGGAGAAGTAGCTGAGGGTTCTTACATCTTGACTCACAGGCAACAGAAAGTGGTCTGAGACACTGGGTGTGGCTTGAGCATATATGAGACTTCAAAGCCCAGTCCCACAGAGACATACTTCTCCAACAAGGCCACCCCTCCTAATAGTGCCACTCTCCATGAGCTTATGTGGGCCAATTACATTCAAATTACCACACCTTTCATGCCTTCAAAAGCAGTGCCACCTGGGTGATGTTTACACATTACCAAGTCCTGCTGCCAGCATGAGGTACAACCTTGGCCACCTCCGGAACACAGCTTCTCTGTGCTCTCAGGAAACACTTCCCCGAAGATTTCACCAGGGATGCTAGTCTCTTTTTATTCACTGCTAATTTCTTAGCTCCAGCTGACCAGTTTCAAGTATCGCCACTAAAGCTAAATTTTGCTTTAGTAGTTCTGGTATCTTGTTAATCACAGCTGATTCTTCAGCTCCAGCTAACCAGAACCAAGGATCTTAATTCAAAATAACAAATGGCCCTGACAGAGTCTTTAAACTTTCCTGTGAAACTTCACAAGCCAGGCCTCCACCCTCTGCAATGCTCTCAACATCCTCTTCCAAGTTCCCACAGAGCTCTCATCACTCAATGGCTCTTCTAGCTCAAGGTTCTAAAGTCCTTCCATAATCCTCCCCAACACATGGTCAGATCTGTCATAGCAATACCCCACTATACTGGTACCAATTTGTCTTTGTTAGGGTTTCTATTGCTGCAACGAAACACCATGACCAAAAAGCAAGTTGGTAGGAAAGGGTTTATTTGGCTACACTTCCACATCACAGTCCATCATTGGAGAAAGTCAGGACAGGAACTCACACAGGGCAGGAACCTGGAGGCAGGAGCTGATGCAGAGGCCATGGAGGAGTGCTCCTTACAGGCTTGCTCCCTGTGGCTTGCTCAGCCTGCTTTCTTATGGAACGCAGGACTGCCAGTCCAGGGATGGCACTGAAAATGATTTCTTTTGCCATTTATTAATAAAGAAAACCCGTGCACAAATATTAAAGGAAAAAGGAAACCTGAGGCAAATCCAAGCCACTAGAAACACCCACTACTGCTCACTTCCTGGTTTGAAAGGGGCCTTGCAACCTTCCTGCCTTGCCCCTTCCCTTTGGGTCACTCTGTCTCCTGGGTCCTCCAAAGCTCACTGATCCATTCTGACCAGCTGAATGGAAACTCCACCTCTTTTCAATTGAACAACAGACCAGTGACATAATCAGAATTTCTATAAGATGCTACCACCTATCATGGGCTGGACCCTCCCACGTTGATCACTAGCTGAGAAAATGCCTTACAGCTGGATCTCATGGAGGCTTTTCAACTGAGACTTCTTTCTCTCCTGGCTTATGTCAAATTGACACACAAAACCAGCCGGTACAAAAGTTGAAATTGTTCTCAAAACTTTTTGGAATCATCCAGGTGACACAGCTCTTGGTGTGTCTATAAGGGCATTTCCAGAGACATTTAGGTGAGGTGGCAAGAGCCAACCTGAATGTAGGCAGCAGTGTCTTATGTGCTGGGCCAAAGGAGAAAGTAAGCCAGCCTTCATCTCTCTCTGCATCTTGACTATGGAAGTAATGTGACTGATGACCTGGTGCTCCCCCTGCCTCCTGCCATGATGAACTGTGTCCCCCTACCCCCCCCAACTGTGAGCCAAAATAAACTCCCCTCCCTATCTCCCTTCCTCGCCCTCTTGCTCCCTCCCTCCCTTCCTTCCTCCCTCCCTCCCTTCCTCTCTTCCTCCTCCCTAAGAAGCTACTGTCATGTATTTGTCACAGCAGCAGGAGAAGCAGCTCCTACAATGACAGAGTTCTCTCACCAAGCTGAGATGGCAGGATCTTGTTGGTCCACGACTGGATATGTGGCCTAAGGTTAACCAAAACTTTGTTATATGGTGCATGTATTTTGGATTTTTATAAAATATATACGTAACTATTAAAATAATACATAATATAGAAAGCTTTACGTTTGTGAAGGTGACGAGGTGCATTTCCTCTGTTCACACAATAAAAAGATAAGAATTCCCAAGGTAGGAAAGGAAATGGAGGCCGGTTACAAGAGCATCAGAAAGGAGAATAGTGTAAATACCTGAAGTAGAGCAAATATGTGGACACAAGAGGGGGAACAGAAACCACAGGCTTTTGGGAGCCAGACAGAGCTGTGGGTGCCTCATCTCCTAAGTGAAGCTGGGATTGATGCCAAGTAGATTTTGTGAACCACAAAAGGCTGCAGGAGGCAGTGGGGTGGATGTGGCTATAGGATGCCTCTGGGCAGATTAGCCCAAGTGGGGTTCACCAAATCCCCCGTAGATACCCTGTGTCCTGGGAACAACAGAACACCTCACCCCAGCCCTGTCCCCCTCATTCCTCCTGGTGAAGGAGGCATGGGTCTGTGAGATCAAACTCCTGGAGAGCAGACACGGTTTAGAATCTGCAGCAGCACCTGTGGGTGCTGTATCCTCCACTGGACATAATGTCCCACAGGGAAAACGCTTCCAGAGGAACCAGGTTCAGTTCTCAGCACCCACATGATGGCTCACAACTGTCTGTAACTCCAGCTCCAGGAGATCTGATTGCCCTCTTCTGGCCTTCTCAGACACTGCAAACACATGGTACACAGATACACATGTGGGGAAAACATCTATACACAACATTAAATAAATATTTTAAGTTAATTACAAACTATATTTAGAATGATAATGATGCGTTAAGATTGATTTAGCAACTGTAACAAATACACTATTCTAGTTGGTTTTTCATCACAAGAGTGTTTTTTAATTAATTTTTTATTCTGGAGAATTTCCCACATACATACAATGAAATACGATCATATACACCCACAATTTCCTCTTCCTATTCCTCCAAATACTTTCCCAACACATCAGAACTTCAACTTCATGTCCAGTTAGTGCATGTGCATGACTGTGGGGCCATCCACTGGGATGTGTGCCGGAGTCTAGCCTGGTGGTGGCCAGGTCCCAGAGAGGAGGTAAGGAGGTATTGAAGGAAAAAGTGAGCCGGAAAAAGTTGCAGCCTGACTAACTAGCAGTCTGAGTGCTTCTTTATTTATACAGAATTTTACAATCATTTTCCCTCA